GCCGTGGGAAAGGACGGCGTGCCAGCCGCGGGCGCACCTGTGGGATGACACGGTGCCCAGTGCTCATCTCGCAGGCTCCGTTTCAAGGCTGGCAGCCGCCTGGGGAAGGGCCCAGGATGGCGGGCTTCCCTGGCCCGGCTTCACAGCAAGCATGATGCTCTTCCCAGACCACGGCACAGGCCTGTTTTCCCCATCGCTGCCGGCGCAGAGCTGTTTTCCAGCGGCCCTTGGTTCAGATCCACAGGCCGCAGCTGCGGCAAGTTCAAAGGGCCCCAGCGCCCACGGCCAGGGCTTCCGTGCCAGGCGCAGCGGACGCTCAGTCCTGAGTGAGGTATGGGGCTGAGCTGAGGGGCACAGGCTCCCTCGGACCCCCAGACCCCAGCAGGCCCGGAAGAGCAGCCGCGGTGGGGACAGCAGGCTGTGGGGGAGACGCCAGCGTCACCCCAACTACAGGGAGGGTGTGGGTGGGCCGGGGCTGGCCATACGAGCCACAGATGCCAGCAAGAGCCAGCGGCACGGTTCCCAGCCTCCCTGCCTTCCGCCCTCTCCCCCAATGGCAACGGGTCCCTCGGCCCCTGCAGCGTCCCAGGGGTTTGGTGAGGGGAGGCATGGCACTGCCTCAGCCTCCTCCGGCAGGACGGCCACTCCAGAGCAGCACCCGCACACCTCGGGTCCCGGGGCTTCTTGGGTTCTCACTCTGTCTCGTGGGCCTCTCACCCGGGGACAGTCGGTCCCCACAGAGCTGGGCGCCCACCCACACAGCTCCCTGCAGCCCAGCCCAGCCTCTCCCAGCACTTCCTGCCCTGCATGCAGAGAGCTGAAAACCGCATCCCCAGAGGCCTCTGCAGTGGGGTTGTCGGTATGCAAACTAGGTCCTGCCCCTCAGTCTGTCCTGCAAGCGGAGCGGGGCGGGGCCTCACTGTCTCTTCAGCCTGGGGATCTGCGGGGTCAGGACCTGGGCGATGCCTCACTGTGGGCCACGCGACCTGGATCGCCACCTTGAGGGGAGCGCCTGACCCCACTGCCCCAGCCGCCCAGGGACAGCGTGGGCTCCTGACCCGGAACCGCGTGCTGTCCGCAAAGGGCCCGGACTCAGTCTACACCCAGGGCTGGCACACCCGCTCCCTGGGCCAGGAGTCCCAGGGCGCCACCCCCCACGCGCTTCCCCTGGCATTGCCAATCCTAGGGCCCAAGTGCACGAGGAGGGGCCGGGCACTTCACCGACACAGGTGAGGTCAGCTTGATGAGGGTTACGAGAGGCGGAGCTCATTTCACAGCGCCGGGCACCACGGCAGACCCTGGACAGAAAGGCGGGGAACACGGCGGTGCCCCCGGGGCCACAGGAAGAGGGAGGTGTAGCAGACAGATGGGCAACAGCAGGGTGGGTGGACAGGTTAGGGACAGAGGGACAGATGGACAGGTGAATGGAGGAGGCGACCAGTGAGCATAAGAAGGGGGCGGGGAAGCTGGGCTGCTCTCCCACAGGGCGGCCCTGCCCCCGGCACACTCCTCCCCAGCCCACACCAGAGTCGAGCTGGCCTCGCAGCCCCCAGCCCAGCCCCGTCCCTCTTCCCTGCCCAGGACACCGTCAGCTGTCCCGCCAGCCAGCAGGACAGAAGCACTCTGAGGCCGGCCTGAGCGGCTCCTGTGCCTCGCTGAGCAGGGGGGTGCCGGGACGAAAGTGACCGCAGCCGGGAAGGGCCTGGCGCTGGGGCCCTGTGGGGGTGTGCAGCTGAGACACGGCTGCTCCCAGGTTTAGTTCTCCCTCCACCCCCATGCAGGGGCGGATGCCACTGGAGGGGGCTTCAAAACAGGGGCAAGGTCAGGGGCAGAGCCTGGACAGCACTCAGTGTTTGTTGAATGACTGAATGAGAGACACGGCACCTACATGACAGCCAGAATCTTGTTCCCTGTGGTAGCACCAGGTCTTCTCCTCCAGTTTGGCCTCACCCCTTTTCATTTCAAAATAAGTGAGACATTCCCTGCTAGGGCACAGACTGCCGTGGCGACAGCTGCCAGTCACTGACCCCCCACCCTAAAGCCTGGACACACCCGGAGACCTTGGCCCACTCCCCTGGGCTCCCAGGGGCTAAAGCTCAGCTCCCGAGCACCCCTGGCAGTGCTAGGAGGCCCCGTCCCTCAGTCTCTGTGACAGGGACACACGGCAAGGCCGGTCCTCCTGGGCAGGGGCAGCTGGCACAGCATCACCAGCCCGGCGTCTCCCAGGGGAGCACACAGGTGAGCACCAGGGGCCCCACCGCCCACAGTGAGGCCTCGGGTAAGAGCAGGGTTGGGCTGCAGGTAAAGTCCCGGGTCACAGGGACATGTGGCCAGAGCCCGCTCTGAACAGCAGCCCCTCCTGCTCCTCCCTCCGGGGCTACCAGGTCCCCCTGCCTGCAGCTGCTGGTTCATTCTGGTGCCCCAGAGGGTGACAGTCCCACGTGTCACGGCGCAGTGGTCAAGGAGGCCCAGCAGCACAGCAGGAAGTGGGGCCTCTGTCCTCTAGGGGGCTGAGGACAGCCGGGGCACAAAACCACTCTGCCGAGGCCAGGGGGCAGCAGGTGCAGGGGGCTGCAGGAGTGGAACTCGTGGGGCCCAGGGGCCTGGGGTGCACCGAGGGGGCTGCGGGAAGTGTGATGGCCCTGTCCTGGAAGAGGGGCACCCACCGTGCCAGGGCGGCCGCCCCAGGCCAGAGTCTCTTCTCCCTCTGCACCAGAGTAGCAGGATGGGAGGGCATCCCCGAGAACCGCGCTGCCCAGAGAGGTGACGCTCCGTACAGGGCAGGGCGGTGACAGAGGGGCCGGGCACACTGCACGGAGAGAGGACCTGCTGCGCTGCCCCTCCAGGACCACGGGCGCCCCCGTGGGCAGACTCCCCCGACCTTCCTCTCCCACTCCAGCCACGGTTTCCGGTCGTGGCCCTCAGGTTTGCATTCTCTCTGCAAAGTTCCACAACTACGCACTCGCAGGCGCCCTGGGGGCACTGGAGGGAGGAGCGGAAGGGGGAGTAGAAGAAAGAACGGACAGAGAAGGGTAGGTGGTTAACAGAAGGCTGGAAAGAGGGAAGAGGTTACAAATGACTTCGCGATGGACAGAGGTGGAGGGGTGGGGAGAGGAGGGGACTGGATGTAGGGTGGGCGCTTCACGGAAGGGTTCACGGAAGGAGATGGTTAAACAATGGCTTCCCGGGCGCACGCTGGACGATGGACGGTGGATGGGTGGGTGAATGAACAAAGGAAAGAAGGGTTTCCTTCCTCCTACAG